CAACCTAGTAAACAACAAGTCGCTTGTTATTAAAATCACAAACGTACAAGGCCCCATCTTCATTGAATGCCAATCCATAAGGAGTATCAAACTGATTAACATTACGGCCCATGCTTCCAAACTTATTCACAAACACGCCATCACTAGTGAAGACTGAGATACGATGATTGCCCCATTCACTAACAAACACTAGACCAGAAGCTGCAGTATCTATTGTTATACCATACGGGAAATTAAGCTGTCCAGGGCCGAATCTTTTATTACCAAACTGACCCACAAACTTCCCATCTGGAGAGAACTTCTGAACGCGATGACTATAATAGTCAGTCACATATACTGTTCCTTCATTGTCAATGGCAATGTCGTATGGAGATCGAAACTGTCCATTACCTGATCCTTTACTGCCAAACGAATGAGAGAAGGTTAGATCAGGATTCAAGACTTGAATACGGTGATTACTTACATCAGCAATATAAACCTGTCCTGTTATAGGTGAAATGGCTATACCATAAGGATCATTGAATTGTAGTGGTCCACTGCCCCACTCACCAACTGATTTTATAAGCTGTCCATCCATGCTTATCTTCTGGATACTATTACTATCAGATACAAGAATGAATTTGTCTAGAGTAATCGCCAAACAATGAAGATAAGAAAACTTGACATTACCTCTTCCTCCTTCCCCACCTAATGATTTCACTTTCTTTCCCCTTTTATCGAGTATTGTTACACAGTGACCATCACGCTCAGCTACTATAACACGATTATCCTCAGTTATAGCAACTCCCAAGGGACCCTTCACATCATCTATGACATGTACTGAAGAGATGTTATCAATGTGAGGACTGATTGAGATGACTAGTGAGGTATCCTTAAGGTGTACATCATATACTTGTACTTTTACTGTGTGAGTGCCACTGGTTGAAGGGTTGCACTGTATCTTATACACTCCAGGATCAGTGCTGGTGGTAGTGACTGTAGTTGGAATGGGTTGATCACCTTTACCAACTGGTACTAGACTACACTTCAGAGAAGAAAGGGGAACAGACAAAAGAGATGAATCCGGTGCCTCCATTGATAGTAAAAACGAAAGTGTTTTGTCGGAGGGAGTAATACGATCCACCTTCTTCACTCTACACTGCTGTAGTGCAGTGGAAGAGTGGGTCAAAATATCTCCAATGTGATGCAGCGATTTGATATCTTTGCTCAATTCAAAGTCAGCTTTTTCTACTGGATATAACTCTTCCCAATTGATTGGTAAAGTGACATTGCTCATGCGCTCCATCATCTGCTTCTTAGATCCCAGGACTTGTTGAGGACTGCCTGTTTTCAGATTCTGTTCCACATAAGTTGTAACATCCTCCACTAATTTCAAACTCTTTTTTGTTGATTCCTTTTGCTCTGAAAGCACCTTTAGCCTAGAATCAATGACCCTCTTTGCTTGCTCAGTCAGTTTCCTCTCTGACCGACGAAGAACATTTATCATTTCCTCTACCATTCCGTGTATTTCTGCCAAAACTCCTTCTCCTCTCTCTCTGATCTCGCCCTCTCTCTCTGTTATAGCAGACAAGATCTTTTTAAGTGCTGCCTTCCTTCTCTCAACTGGTAATAGACATTCTCTTAACTTTTCACAGTGTTGATCATACTTTTCAGTGATCAATTCATATTTATGATGTTTGTGATCACCGAATTGACAGGTAACACAAATTCCTGTATCACATGTTTCACAGAATAGCTCCAAAGGCTTTCCGTGATCATCACATGTGACCTCTGGAGGATTAAATGCAGGTATATGTACTTTTGACGACCTGTTGTTCAGTAAACCTTGCATCTCCTTGAGGTTGTTGAGGTGGAATGCTACAGGAAAGGCTCCAACTCCTTTATCTGGTAGCTCTGCACGTTGACGACAAGTAGGACAAGAGAGGTAATAGGTCTTATTCTTCTTATCCAGTGGTAATCTCTCCAGACATTCCTGACAGAATGAATGTAGACAAGGTAAAGTCTTAGGGTTGGTATAGTTGTCAAGACACACAGGACAGGTGAGCTGCTCCTCCATTTTGTGCCTAAGCTCAGGAGAAGAAGATGAAGGTGGTTTAGTGGTAGCCATTTCAAGAAAATTAAGAGTCACACAGAGCAAAAAAGAGAGAAATACAGTGATGAAGATAGAACAAGATCAAACAATACGAAATCTGAATGAACAAGACAACAAAACAAAGTACAGCAGCAGCAGCAGAGCAAGCAAACAAAGACAGCCCTGATGACCTTACTGATGTCCTTTAAGGATATTCATAAGTTATGATAGTGTACAATTACTATAATTAGTAACGCGGTAGCGTTACTAAGTAGGATTCACCCCAAAACAATATGGCTGCCACAACTTTTGCAGCCTTGCTATACCGGGAAAACAAGCTCCTATGCTTACCAGATTTCCTAGAGGACCTTATCTTGACCAGAGGACTCCATAGGTACCACTAGCGTGGCTCTACACCTAGTCTAAGAGGAAAGTCAAAAATCGGCAAAACGGCCGTTTTGTTCAGTCGTCTTCATCATCATCATCATCATCATCATCATCTCCTGTCAATCCAGTTGTCGGTGTGTATCTCAATATTGGCTGGTGCTAGAAGGCTAATTCTTACACCATTCTACTCCAACAGTCTATGCGCAGGTCCATGTCCCATCACCTCATTCTCCAAGAAAGGAAGAAGTGACACTATGACTGTAGCATCAGTCAAAACTTACCTCATTCCGCCATTTTGTTATTAAAAGAAACATGTGCTCCAAAATTTGGGTGTGGTCGCGCATGCTCAGATCTCAGAACTGGGAAAAGCAAGCAATTTTTTTATCTAGCTCGTATCTAGCTATGCTTGGGTCAACTGTAATACTTAGGGGAGGTTCCAGGCTTCTAGTTCTAGCTAAGAGAAGTTATTTAATCTTAGATATCATTGTTTTATTTAAATAAATAATTAATAAATTGTATTTTTTAAAGATTACAAACAATAATGTTATTAAAACAATGTTCATGAACTTCACAACAGGAACAACACAGGACAGGATTGCAAGGAAGAT